ATACCTCTGCTTTCTGTTGGGCTCAACAGCATTCGTGAAGCCGTTGTTGTTGCTCTAGGATCAATCAATGTTAATATCTATAAAACTTTGCTGGAAGAGTTACAGGGAGCAGTGGGCCGGTGCAATGATGATGCCAGAGCGCGTATTCATCAACGGACTGGCAGCAACCCAAGAAAAAACAGGAGGACTGATTTGTTGCGTACCGAGATCACTCACGTCTACCGGCTGACTTCACGCTTCCTTACCGAACCAGATGTATACCAAGATGATTGGATTTTGAATAATCTCGTTGTGTATACGAAGGATCTGAAACTATTTCTCATGGACGGAGAAGTCCAAATGGATTGGGAATTTCAGAAACTTCGCCGGCATTATTGCGGGCTGGTTGAGGCAATGTTCGAAGGCATCAATCGGACGAAAGATCCCTCTCGCTGGATGACATTCGAGTCTCGGAAGTCTTCTTTTGCTCTAATGGAGGACTGGTGTGGGTACTCGCCCAATCAAAACCAGATCCGCCAAAGGGAGGACAGTATGAGGCAGTCCATGATTGATCAACAAGCTCTTGGTGAGAGAGGCATAGTGACAGCTGCAATGGAGATTGAGAAGAGAAATCTTCGGACTGCCGCACTCAGTGCCATGGCTGCACTTTGTGGTGGACCGATCAGCATTACAACAGAAAGCCGGGCGAATCTGCAGTTTGACATTCGGCGGATGCTTTCATGGATTGACACTATCTTCAGTACTGAGAGCGACCGCATGCATGCCATCGGCAGACGTGCGCTCAAGAACTTGATAATCCACAACAAGGAATTTACTTACTTATTAGAGCACTCTATCGCGAGGTGCTACGTGGCCGAGGTGTCAAAAGTTCTGGAGAGCTATTTCGAAGTCGTTACTGAGGTTCTGCTCGAGCACCCGGACTACCCCATGCCGTTTTGGAAGCTATTATCAGTAGGACTATATACCCTAGGGAGCGAACTGAGTGAGATACGGTCAAAATCAGCCCATGTTCTGCGTGCCCTCGAGGAAAGGCAGCAGAAGAACTCAAAGATCCAAGATTATGATATAAGCATTTCAGACAAAACCAAAGCCGTTTATAAGCTGGCGCAATTCGAGATTTCAAAGCGTCTGTCAAAGCAGCATTCGGAGCTAGCATTTCTCATATTCTCAGAGTTTACGGCATATTTCAAAGATCTGCAGCCGGGGTCCCAGCGAAACATGGTTGCCGTTATCCTTCCATGGATTCAGATTATTGAGCTTCAGGTTGATCCCAATGGTGGGCCAACAGCCCAGTCGTATGTGTTGCTAGCCAACCTATTTGAGATTACGATCAAGTCTAGTAGCACTCTACACAATGAGGTCCAGGCCTTGTGGCAAGCCCTCGCTACAGGTCCACACGCCGGAAACGTACAACTAGTCCTGGACTTTATTATGTCACTCTGTCTGGACAGGCGTGAACAGAATTTCGTTGAATTTGCAAAGCAGATTGTCGTTTTCCTATCGAGCACCCCGGCTGGTGTAAAGGTCGTTGAATTTCTGCTAATGCAAATTTCACCCAAAACAATGATACCCAGCGAGAAACGCGAGCTCTCCCCCCCTCCCCCGGATGCAGTTAAAATGCCCTACCTTGCCGAGCTCTCTGAGGCTCTCCCTATTGGTGCCAAGCAGGCTGGGTTCTCGCTTGGACAGCTATCTCTCATCCTACTGGTCGATTTGATGGTATCTCCTGTCCAACCCGTCGTGGAGAACGTTCCATTGCTCCTCCAAGTTGTCACAGTTCTCTGGGACCATTATATCCCCTTGGTTCAAGATCAAGCGAGAGAGATGTTGATTCATCTTATTCATGAACTGGTCATATCTAAAATTGACGATGAGCACACTGTCCCCACGAAGAAATCCATTGAAGATTTTGTTGAATCTATCCGTCGCCACGATACGAAAGTTATTTGGCAATATGAAGACAATAATGGAAAAGTTGATGACCAAGACAACAACAAAGTTCCTGCTGGGATGGAACTTCTTACGGCTGATGTTGTTAAGAATTTTCAGATCACCTACCCAGGAATCCAAGATCAGTGGAGCAAGCTTTCCCTGACTTGGGCTACCTCATGCCCTGTGCGCCACCTCGCATGTCGATCTTTCCAAATATTCAGGTGCATCCTCACCTCATTAGACCAGCCTATGCTGGCAGACATGCTGGTAAGGCTATCGAATACGATTGCTGATGAGGACCCTGATGTACAAACATTCTCGATGGAGATTCTTACCACCCTGAAGACGTTGATTTGCAAGCTAGATCCCACAGATCTTATCACGTTCCCTCAATTATTTTGGACGACTTGTGCTTGTCTGGACACGATTAATGAGCGAGAATTTTTAGAAGCGCTGGGCATGCTAGAAGAGTTGCTCAAGAAATTAAGCTTGCGAGACTCAACAGTATGTTTGATTCTAGCCGAAGGGCGCCCCCAGCGATGGGATGGTGTCTTTGAAGGTCTCCAACCACTGGTGTATAAGGGACTTCGGTCATCGGTCTGCTTTGATTTGACACTTACAACGCTCAATACACTTGTGCAGCTTCCTAATGACGACCTCATTGGTGATGGCAGCCGCTTGCTCTTCGCTGTGTTGGCAAACTTCCCACGGTTTCTTCACGCTATGGACCAGGAGACGATTGACGCCGAGTGTGTTAAAACCGCTGGTATCTTAGCTGACGTAGCTGAATTAGAGGGCTGCAGCATCATATCGAGGGCCTTGGGAGGCTTTGCATCCTCAAGATACCGATCTAGTAAAGATTTCCTTAGCCAACTTGTATCCGCGATCCGCGAATCTTTCTTCCCTCGATGGGAGTTTGGTAGCCTGACATTCCTCATGGGTCTTTTGACGAATAGCATCCCGTGGTTCAAGACGAAGACAATGCGTATTCTTTGTACAATCATTCCTGATATTGACATGCGCAAGCAGGAGATCGCATGTCACGGTCCAGATTTGATATCACCGCTCCTGAGATTACTCCAAACAGAGTTTTGCATGCAAGCTTTGGAGGTCTTGGATCAAATTATGACAATGACGGGCACAGCCATGGACAAACACCACCTTCGAATGAGCATGACGACATCGTCTTCTAAATCCATCAGGAAGGAATATGAGCGTACCCAGAGTTTATTTGGCATCCCAGAAGAGTCCGGGTGGGCGATACCTATGCCAGCCAAGCATGCAGAAACAACACGGGCCAACGTGCACGCAGTGTTTTACATGTGTCAGAGTGCAGAGAACATAGACACCGAGGCTGCACCTACGGCGGAGCTCGCCTTTCACGTTGACGATTTTCAATATGGCTACTTCCCTACCACGGAGAGGACCGAGACCATGATGTCAGATGAAGGGCGCGGTGATGGACATATTGGTGATTTAGTGATGAAACTCGACAGCTTAGATGATTTCTTCGATGACAATCATCAAAGTCCCGTAAGTGATGGTCGATCATCGAGGACAGTCACAGAAAGTGGCTTCCCCGGAGAGGGATTCGAGTCTGGCGCACAACTTTATGATGAGCAGACGCTACCTATCCTTCATCAATCGCTGGCCCAAACATCAAGCACGACGTCGTTCCAGAACGGATTCGCGGATATGCGACCAACGGTCATGAACCGCGAGCCTAACTCAAACGCGATGAATCCTGGCGCATTCAATGTGGGCTCGACATCTCGACCTAGCATGCACTCTCGGTCAGTAACATCTCCTTCAGCGCCAGCCTCCTTCCAAGGCAACTCTGCCACGTATCTGTCCGACGAGGATTATACGGAAGAGGTCTTCTCTGATGGCGATGAGGATCGAGGGGCACTGGCGGGAGAAGGTTCATTTATGTTGGAAAACATGATCAAACCGATAGCACAAGGGACGAGAACAGGTGTGCGGCGACTTACTGGTGGGAGATCGAGAGAAAACGATCGACTCAGAGATAATCTGCGGGTGGACAGGAGAGGGCTGTCGCAGCCGCCACCCAAGTCTCCTAAGGTCCCTAGGGTTCCCAGCGCGTACCTACCCAAGCCTGCGAGTCCAAGTGATGCAGTGTAGGACTGTAGGATATTACTCATTGTGATATTCAAGCTATGCCATGTAAAAAAAAAAGTGTTGGATCTATGATTGAGCATTTAGATCGTGTGGCGTTAATAGATCATGATCTGTTGCTGTATGATAGACATGTATTTAGCTTGTGAAATAGGGAATAAAGAATGTATTTGAGAAAGAAAAGCAGCTAGAGAGCCATGGCAATGCCTAAAAGGCATTGAAGCCACAATTGCAATCTCACTTCCCGCCATCAAGACCAACCGGGGCTTTAAAATGACAGGCAATAAATTCTTGCTAAAACCATTACTCTGTACTTTTATTCCGTTAGAATAACAGAACCCATAAAATCTTCCAACTTAACTCGGCCTATTGTCAGCAAAGAATTAGAATAGACGTAACATGCATAATAAGGACTTTCTAGTTGCAAATACGCCTGTTTGGGCTTAACTTCTTGGAGCAATACTGCCCTATCAAGAATGAAGCTGAGTTGTTTCAAGGGCACATACATCACTTAGTAAGATGCAGTCGCGACATGGCGTGGCGGGGGAGGTGTATGATAGTGAGTAAGGCCAATACTCGGCAGATACTCTAGAATCAAGATAAAGACAATGTAGAAAGTAGAATAGAACCAAATTTCATATAGCCAACATCTAAGTCAAAAGAAGTTAAAGGAAGTCGAAATCTGAGGTATCACATGTGTAACCTTGAATAATAGATCTAAGGGGGTTGCTGCTTAAGAATCATATTAGCTTGGTAAAGGTGGCTATAATAATACTAAGACATGTAGACAGGAATTTACTGGATCAAAGCGACAGTACTGAAATTTAAAATTATCTTATTGTATATATTGTAATAAGGAAATTTGGCCAAATTATATCGCCTGTTTAGCTGTAAGTTTGCTACGTGGGAATAGTGGGGTGTGCTTGCACTAACAATATTACAGTAGGGGTAGAGCGCTTCACTGTAAGTAACAACAAGCGATGTAGAGGTATCGTAACTAACGATAGCCAGCGTATCTTCTACGATATGAAGAGATCCTCGGTTCGATTCCGAGAATGGGCATTTTTGCTATCAAGAATTTTGCGGAAAGTTTTTTTTTTTTGGTTCATACTGAGCGTACGCTCTGACTGGATTAACCGAGACTTAAAGCATATAGTGCTACCTTACCGAACACCACAGGTCTCGTGACCAGAAGTATTTGAAGTAGTGAAAAAAGAAACGTATTGTAACTATAGAGAACAACACCTAGAGCCTTAACTAATAAAACAATCTCTTGCTTGATGCTAATATTCCCGGAACCTCTCATTTCTCTTTCTTTTTAGATATTCCCTTGCTCGTCTAGCACCGTGTAAAGAACGGAATAGAGGTTGGGTGCGTGCTCTATTTTATTTATGGCATCCAGAGCCTATACTTATCCATAGAGTCTCATAATACAACTACAGTTTATAACGTTGAAGTAGTAAGTGCATTATAGAATATTTGGTGAGACTGCCATGCTAGGCAAGATGCAACTATCTCTGGGATATGTATAGTAATGCCCAGCTCTGTCTAAAATTACCCACCGAAAGACACCATATATGTAATAAAACCCGCCAACTCCGTGTTAGTCCCATCCCTCGCTGTCATCATCATCGCTATCTACACTTCCTCTCTTTCGAGCTTTCCCTTTGCCCCGTCGGGAGATAGACGACGATCGAGCGCGCTTCTTTCGTCCACTTGGGGTGCCAGAAGCTTTCCTTTTGCGCCCTCGTCCGCTGCCAGGAGGCATTCCATTATCCTCTTCTCCACTTGGGGTGCCGAGCTCGACCCTTCCATTATCATCCTCACCTTCTGCAGCTACCTTGAAGTCCGGGTCCAAGCTCAAGAGTCCCACGAAGTCACGGCATTGCTTTAGCATTGTCTCCTCCGATTCAAGTGCAGACATAACCGAAGTCACTTGCTCCCAGAATTTATCTCCGGTTACGAAGGGAACTTTTATAGGCGCCTTGTTTAGATCTTTAATTGCAGATTTGCCTTTGCCATCGCGTCGGTTCGTCATCAGACCGTACAGGCGCCGAAGGTATGAGCGTGCTTCCCAGAGACACGCGAGCATCATCGAAGATGCCGTTAACTGAAGAAGGCGGGTAGGATTAACCGAGCGTTGATCAGGTCGAGGCTGCCCCGACTCGTCGACCAATGTCGGATCAGTCAGGCTGACGTGGAAGACCTCGGTATCGATAGAGTGAGCTATGCCAGTGCCTGTTCCTGCAACTACCTTCTCCATCGCAACAATGGCGGCGAGCAAATCGTCAACGGAAACATATTCGAAGAAAGCCATATTCTCTATAATAAATTGAGAGAACTCGAGGTGGTGTGGCAGCTGCTTTATGTCCATTTTGGCCGGATCAAAGTCAATACGCGAGCAGAGATTTTCAAAAAATCTCTTGCGGGTCTTGGATTTGCTAATTTTCATGACATCAATCAGCATATGCAGCTTCGGCGCAAATGGATTGAGGGTAGCGCCGTGGATGTCGTGCACGATATCTCGTTGATATACGTATGCCATATGGACGGCAGGTATGTACTCTCGTTCGATGATTGTTTCGTGTTTTTCATGAAGGGTCCGATGTCCGCGGAATGCTAGATCTGCAATCTTGGCATTCTGCGACGTCTCCAGTGCAATCAACGGTGGTCCACACTCCTTGGGGTGGACAAGTCCCTGTCGGGTGATGCTAACGATAAGCTCGGTCGCGAGAAGAGCCTGGTCATCTTGGGAAGCCAATGCAATTCGAGTGAAGTCTTTGAGAAAGAGCTGGGCTATGCCGATTGCGACACCATCGCCTTGACCACCACCCATAACTCCCAGCTTTGCTTTCGGGTCTGCCGCAGCACCAACTACGCCTTCTGCACCAGTCTCTGAGCGCTTTTCTTCTAACAGCAAGAACTCCTTGAAGGCTTTCATGATGATGGTCTCGAGAACAGAAGTCTGTGCATTAAAGGCTTCTTTGAATGACGTACTAATATTAGCCGACGTGAAATTCTTCGGCCATGACTGGCACACCATTCCAATCGCATCGAACGCAGCTTTGCGTACGTCAAGAGGCTGGTTAGGGGATGCAAAAGGAGCGAATGTATCGCTCATAAGTTTAGACACCGAATTCCCCTTCCAGTTTGGGAATCCGTCCCTAAAGCTCTCGCACTGAGGATCAAGGTCGCAATGCTTGCCACACATTCCAGAAATCAATAAGAGCTTAGTGAGCTTGCGCACCAAATCCCCCTTTGAAGGATCGTTCAAATTGATATTCTTCATCTTGTGGATGCCGGTCAATGTTGACAAGACCAACCGTGTGAGATGCTGGAAATCATCTAGTACACCACTGATAATCCAAAGGCACGCCACAACGTCGTCGAGGATTGCCTTGCCCATGCGTGACACAGCCGGGATGAGCTCCTTCCTAACCGAAGCAAGAAAGCTGTTATGCACTTTCGACAGGTGTGGTAGAACATGGCGAAAGATAACTACAACCGACCGGTAGATAGCCAAGTCATCCCCGCCGCCAACATTCGCGACGTACGGTTGCAAAAGTTGGATCTGTTCTGGTGTGAAGAGCTTCGCGTTAGACTTTGCAAAGATCATGAGGACTTGCAAGGCATCTCGAGCTGATGGTGCGTTAGTCTCCTCGCTCATCGGGTTGTCGATAATTGTCTCGAACATGGTGGAGACAAGGGCTTTACAGACTCTAAAGTTCGCTGTAGAAAGCTTAGAATCGTTGGATAACATGTTCTGTAGAATTTTGTCGAGCATGATCGCTACGCCACTGCCTCGCTGTACCGTCTTGACCATCAGAGCTACATGATCGGCCAACGCCAGTTTGAACTGGGCCGAAGAATTCTCAGTCGAAGTAGGCTCGTAGAATGGTGACATCCACATTTCCTCTATCGACTGACGCGCAAGCTCCTGAACACCCTCATCAAGATCTGCAACTCTATGAAGCAATGAATCAGCGATAGAGCTTCTGATCTCTCCATTTGTGTTCTTCAGGTATATGTCCTTCGATAGCTTCATTGCGCGCTTACGAACTCCGATGCCGCTGTCATTGACTCGTTGTAGAATGCTCGGAATCATCTCATCTTCGAGGGACGGCCGCAGACTGATGCATTTGCCAATTAGGCCGAGTGCTGAATCGCGAACAAGAACAGAGGGGTCATTCGAGCATCGTAACAGCAAGTGCTTTACAGCGGGCTCCCGATCCAGAATAGAGGGGTCGGTTTCCAGCACTTGATTAACACTCTTCAGGCTCTTGCTTCGCACAGTCGCCTGTTCGCTTGCCATAGAGCCGAGTAATATCGTTAGAATTCTTCCGAACGATTCGCAAAATTGCGAATGGAGTAAGGTGACTGCATAGGCGAGACGAGAATGAGAGGCAGGGACGGAGTCAAAGCCGTATTCTGCGGCCAGCCGACTCTTATCTGTAATCATCATTCGTAACCTATATGACATACGGCCATACTCTGCCTTCACTTTGTGATACTCTGAGTCATCCTCATCGAGTACATCGTAAGTGACACAGATTTTCGATGCCCACTCAGCCGTATAAAAGGCAACTGCGCTGCTCAGTTGGGGATCTGAAGAACAATGCTGCTCAAGCGATTCTAAACTGACACGGAAAGGGCCCCAGTCCCATGATACAAGATCAGGGGGTGAAGCTTTCTTTTCGAGTGATGCCTCTGCTAATCTCGACAGATATTTGCCCAAATCAGTATCCCCATTCTCAAGCGAGGTTGCAAGTTTTCGAGCATGAGATACAGTCTCTGAAATCGCAGCTCCCATCGAACCTAGAAGCTCAAGGGCCATATTTTTGGCCGGGGCAGGAGTCTTGTCCCCTTCGGCCAGATGGACCATCTTAAACAGAAAAAGGCGCAGTAATAGCTCGGCAGCTGGCCACTCGGCAGAGTTGAGACAGGCGATAAAATCCTCGACGAAGAGATCTAGAAGGTTACGATACGGGGCGTCTCCAGTCTTCGTAGAATTCATAGCTCTATTCACAATGAACGCCACAACGTATGATGCATTTGATTTCGCAGTATCAAGTAGTGGAGAGACGACATCTCGAAGCTCTTGAATAGCAGTTACAGGCTGTTGCTCGGCCCGTAGCTCGGAAGTCGTTGTCGACTGGCCATTAGATGTGGAATTGGCTTGGATTCCGTCGTCTAAATCTTCTTCATCTTCGGCGCCATTGATGGCTTCGAGAGCCTTTCTTCTACGCTTCTCTTTGGCATCATCTGCCCTGCAAGCACTTGTTTGAATAAGTCGCATGATGAGAGCTGAGACTAGTTGAATGCTTCCACCTTCTGCAAGTTTGAATTGGCGAGCGCTTTGTCTCGTAACGGGAAGCTTCTCGAGGGAAGTGAGGATCTCATCAAAGATTCCTTGTCGTTGCAAGGGGTTATTCAAGAATATCTGCGATAGAACATCCATAGCGACTACTCGGAGGCGATCAAAGATTGCCACGCCAAGAATCGAATCCTTCTCAGTAGGAGCATTCTCGACGAATATCAAACGAGAAGCTGTAAACTCTAAAGTATTGATGACGGTTTCTGAAAGCTCGATCTTTGCCACCAATGTTGCTAAAAGCGACAAAATCCGCCGAGATTGTGTTAGAAGGTTAGTAATAGTTTTCTTCTGTGCCGAGAGCAGTTTGAACAATGTAGCTGAAGAGCCAGAGCTACGCATTTCGACGATGGGAACAATGCAATTCTCCATTGCACTTTTAAATGCATTGAGCGCGGACTGGATTACATCTTCGGAGTAAAGTTGTTTGTCCTCGCGACCCCCAGCCATGAGGCGCAGGGAAGTACGCGCAGACCTGAGGCCCAGATCCATAACTGCGATTTGCTGCAATAGTGATTCAACTTCCGACTCGCCCATGGCGTCATCCACCTTTATATCAAGGAGCTCAGCATCCTTGATAGGAGTTTCACACAATCTTTGTAGTCGAAGCAAATCTTCAAGGGAAACCTGAGCGAACCGTCCCATGGATATAGTCTTCTGTAGAAGACTCTCTGTCTTCGCTTGCGCGA